ACAAAAAGGAAATGCATTTTCTACCCAACATTACACTAAACAAACAAGTTTTCAGTGCAGACCCGGAATAGAGCGACTGTTTGCTAATCATTATGATCCATAGTGCGATGGGCTTTGGAAGAAGGATGAAGGAGATGAAAGGACTGATTCTTTCGAAAACAAAACCTGTACAGACTTCTGAACTGTGTTTCACTCATCTCACTCACTACAGAAAAAGTAGTAGCAGGAAAATTTACTTCAATGCTTCTAATAGTGACACCAACTTGCATACAAACCTGAGATGCACACGAACCCATAAGCTCACACACACACACACCTTCTCATAGCCACATGCAAATTGTCGTGTATATACAGACATATTTAAAAATACTTTATTAGTTTTATGAATACACTGGTGTGACTGGTCAGTTAGTGACGATATGTCAGCCAATAGGCCATGTCACGTGGTTTCTGGTTTTTGTTTACTTCGCCACTCTGACCTCGGTGTTAGTGAATGACTGAATCAATGCATCATAGCAGTCTAGTCCAAGACTTGATTCACAGACTGCAGCTCTACTCTTGAGTCATGTATTCAGACAGAGGAAGTGGTCTGGCCAAAAGGCACGCTCGCCCTCGGGAGCCATTATCACTCTCTTTCTCAATCTCTGCCATTAGAGATGTAAGCAAAGGAAAAGAAAGCAGCAAACCTGCTAAAAACCACTGATGTACAGAACTGTCCAGAATCCCCAATCTATAAACACTGATATTTTTTTTTTACTTTTAACTTAGGCATTAAAACTAAGGTGTGTCTCCTGTGAGTGTATAAAAAGATGCCAAATGGATGGAAATAATTTATTTGAATTTGACAGCAAGGTCATTTCATTGTCATGAAGCAAGTCTCAGGTTATCATATTCACAGTCACTATGCGTATTACTGAGTGGTCAGTGTGTACAATGCTATCAAACTGTTTTATTATTACTGTTTTGTATGTGTGTGACTCGACAATGTTTGAGCCAAACATCAGGTGGCTGGTAGCAGCATATCAGGATGTTGGCTAAAGCAATTTATTTTGGACTTGTGTTATTTTACATGTTGAATAAAGCTGACGTTTAATTTGACATAAATGACAGTTTGAGGGTCTGTTAATGGATTGTGCATAGCAGGTGTCAGCTCATGCACAACAAGTGCACACCAGGGTATGTAATTGTTTTGGTGCTGTTGTTTTTAGGGATTCTTTCAAGTGTTAGCTCATCCTGGCAATTGCAAGTGACAACCTCCGAGAATAGATATTGTTAGTTTCTGCTTTAATTTTGTTATAAACTGTTAAACCAATTCTAAATTTCTCAACTCAAAGATGACATAAAAAACTGTATAGAAAGAATCCGCTCTTTACACAGGCTAACAGTGCCTTGACTGTTTTGTTTAGGCCTTTGCAGTTTTGGGTAAAATTGACAAATTAAGCAAGATCCCCCCCATATACTGTAGCTCTGTCTTCTCAGTCTTCACTGGTCCAATTTGTCACTGCTTTCTCTGCAATCTTTAATGTTTTCCTCAAGATATGTTGTGTCAAGCAGTAGCAAAGATGAAACATCTTTGAGGCTTACAGATAAATTCAAGAAGAAAAACACATTCAACTACACATATCAGTCAGAGGACTCAAGAATAATTAGCCAGATGATGAGCCAATATATAATTAACTGTATACAGGCAGAAACAGAAGACAAAAAGAAACTCAGAAGTATGAGGTAAATAAAGGAACAGAAAAAGAAGAGTCCCTGACAGACCAGCTTTAGATAAAGAATTAATCTGTTGTTTCTGTAAAGGGATTTGTACACAGAATCTATTACTTTGCATCTGACATGCGTTTGAATGATTCTGGAATACTAAAGGCTTCGATGCAATTATTTTGTGGTCTAATTGGACTGTATTGGCATTGTTCAGTGAAAAAGTGATAACAGTACCAAGTATATCTGTTCTGTTGAAACTGTCAAAGTCAATGTAAAGAAATGCAGCAGAACCACACTTATGACCATGGCCGCTAGAGGCCAAATCACCATTAGTCCTCTAAGATCTTGGCATCTTTTGACTCATTCCTTCATTATGCTAATCAAGTTTGTTTTACTGCATGCTTATATATCTGGACCTTTCATTAAAACTGCATTTAGCATTTCATTCGCATCCATCTAGCACAGGGTTGGGCAAACTTTTTGGCTCAGGGGCCACATTGACTGAGAAAATTTGACAGACGGGCCGGGCCAGCACCAGATGCATACATATCAAACATAAACATATAAAAGGCATTACAGTGTTAACACTTACATTCACTTTTAGTGGGAACAGTGTTGTTGATCACCCTTTTTTGCCAGTGCATCGTGTTAGTTTTGTTGTGGCAATTCTCAGACCAGATCTGAGGTGTTCATCACTCAACTGGGATCTGTGGGGTGCTTTGTTGGTGTTCATCACACTAAAAGTCTGTTCACACACAGATAGAGCCAAACAACACCAGCGTCCTCTGTGCCATCTTCTGGATGTTTGGAAATTTGGCTGCACTTAATGAAGGATAAAACTCATCCAGTTTAAGAGAGTTGAACTTCTCCTTTAAGACGGTGTCACATTGGAGATCAATCAGTTCCAACTGCAACTCCTGTGGCGCCGTTTCGGGGTCTTGTGTGAAGGGACATGACACCAGCTGAAGTGACTTGTCAATTTTTCCAAAATCGGAGAACCGAGGCAGAATTCTCTGTGCAGGTCGTCCAGTGATTTCCTGTATTTTTTCACATGTCGAGGGGCCTCTTTCAGCATAGCCGGTGTGGGAAAATGAGTAAATGACTTATTTGACATTTGCTTTGAGAATATAGCTAGTTTGGTTTTGAAGGCTCTGACGTTTGTGAACATCAAAGACACAAAGTGTCACTCAACTCAGGAAAATTGTCAGCTTTCTCAAGTGGCTCCAAAAATGAGCTAATCTCCTGTTTGAGCTCCCACACTCGTTGACATACTTTCCCCAAACTTAACCAGTGGACATTAGAGTGATAAAGCAAGTCCTGGTGATCAGCATCAGTTTCTTCAAAAAACCTAATAAACTGACGATGCTGAATCCCCTTGCTCAAATAAAGTTGACGAGTTTTAAAACTGTCTTCACTACGTGGTCAAGCTGCAGTACGGATTTACACAGTGCTTCCTGGTGGATTACGCGGTGTAGGAAAATGACCTCCTGCTTAAGGTTGTCCTCTTTCACTTTCTCCTGGATTTTTTTGAGCAGCTCGAACATTTTTTCCAGTCAGATTTGGCGATCCATCTGTGGTAACGTTGGCAAGTGTACTCCAAGGTAGCTTGTGCCTCTCGATGACCCCCGACACTCTGTCATACAAGTCCTCTTCCCGCGTTTTCCCCTTTAGGGGATTCCATGGCCAAAAACTCCTCCATTAACTCAAAATTGTCATTAATCCCTAAAAGCTGAGTGGTGTCCTTTATGTCATTACTTTCGTCCAGTGCCAAGGAATATAATGTAAATGACTCCGCCTTTTTTGTTTAGCTTGCTAGCTAAGTCTTCGTCAATTAGCTCAACACGACGAGTCACTGTCCTGCGTGATAAGCTAATTTTTTCAAATTTGTTCTTGCTCTCAGGACACAAGATACCTGCTGTGTCTACCATGCACTTATTGAGAAACTCCCCTTTGGATAAAGGCTTGCTGGTCTTTGCTAATTTGAATGCCAGCAAATAACCTGCCTTCGTGCTTGATTCTTGGATGGCAGTTTGTCAGATAAAGGTGTTTTGCTGAGCCTGCAAACTAGCTGCCAGCCTCTGAGCAGTAGCTGTCCGTTCTTGCGTTGACTGGTTGTTAGCACAATTAGCATGCTTGGTGGAAAAGTGTCGGCTGATGTGGCATTCCTTTAAAACCGCAACAGTTTCTTGGCAAATAAGGCATATAGCCTTTGACTGGACTTCAGTAAAAAAAATATTTAGTTGTCCATTCCTTATTGAACACTTGGCACTCACTGTCGACTTTTCTTTTCTTGGGCCCACTCATTGTTGCAGGTGGGTTCAGAGCAGTAGCAGAGTAATAACAGAGAGTAGCTCGGGCTACGCAAAATCAAGTCAATGTATCCCTGCGCCTAATGCGCCAACTGGTGGAATGCCAGGCATTACAGGACAAGGTCAAATGAATGCAGTCATAATCATGATATGAATTGATTTGGGCAATTCTGTACCAATCTTCAGCGGGCCTGATTAAAAGGAACAACAGGCCGGATGTGGCCCGTGGGTTGTAGTTTGCCCACCCCTGATCTAGAGTTTCTTGCAGCGAGCAAGTCTTGATTCAGGACTGTTGTTGGACACTACTGAATATTCTACAGATTAAACTTCCTCTTTCTCCTGCTGATTCATTTGCTCCAGATACACAGATGCCTGAATCACCATGTGTACAGTGACCAGTGGGCTTTTAACAGCTCAGACTAAAATGTCAACTGTGTTTGAGAGGAGTCACAATACAAAGTCTGCCTTTAATGCCCTTAATATGTTCTCATGTTTACTTTACTTTCATTTGAAAGGAATTAAAATAGAGCAATGCTGCGACTCTGTTGCTCGCAAGCTGTACCTCCCACTCCCAATGAGTCTGTGTCTAATTGAATTAAAGCTAATGGGTTTACAAACAGCATTGTCTGCATAATTAGTACAATGTTCTAATCAACACAACAACCATTTAAAAAGTCAGATCTCCAACTGCAGTCATTTAACAGTATCCTCTCTAACTGACAGGAATGAATGATTACAGAACTGTTTGCTGTCAGTGATAAATTAAACCACTTATTAAAAGCCATTTAAAAGCAGAAATCATATTAAACTGAATGTGAATTTGCTCATGCTTTTTTAAACTGTGTGTGTGTGTGTGTGTGTGTGTGTGTGTGTGGCAATGCAGGGAGCAGGGATTTGTCAGGATTACAAACTTCATGCCACACCAACCCATTGTTTACTGTTTAAACTGGACACTGTCTCTGAATGTATGTTATTTATATTCAGGCTTTATGACTGGAGGAGAGAAGGTGTGAAGGAATTGTAAAAGGGAAGAAGAAGAGGAAGCAAAGCGACGAGAAGGGAGGCAGTAACGTGATGAATATCCATAGCTTCAGGCTTCATCTCAGCCAATGAACTAGAGGTTCATCAACAACACTTCCTTAGCAAAACTGAAACAGAAAGTAGAAGGCGCGGCAAAGTTCACAGTTGCTCGGCTAGGGCAAGATGGCGATGCTGGTGATGAAACGGCAGGGCCTTGGGCTGCTGAGGGCCTTCTTGGTGTTGGTGGGAGTTTCCGCGCTCTGTGGTGTGGCATTAGGAACCCGGAAAGGAAATGCTTCATTGGATCAAAGGGGCCACAGACACAGACATTCAGGTAGGAAAAAGCAACAAGGACTCCTTTCTTTTTGCTTTAACATGTGGCATGTAAAAAGGATTTTTCCTCATGTGGCTGATCATACAACCCTAAAGTGTAACTGTAATATATTCTAAAATAAAGTACAACCTTGCTTTTGCTCATCAAAACACAGATTGCTTCACACATGCATGCAACTCTCTTGTCACTGTATAAAACCGACAATGGCCCCTTCTCTCAATTCTTAGTCTTTGTGACCATGATTCACTTTGTAACTCACAATTGTGTTGGTCCATTTTTAATGATTACCATACAGGAATGTTGCCATCAATTCCAAACTATGAACCAATGTTAAATTAAAAGTTAATTTCCATCTACATTTGCAAAGTGGAAAGACACTTAATTTATATTTTCTTATAAAAATGTGACTTATTCTGGACAGTTTTATTCTGGCCATCAGGCCTTCTGAATATCTTGGTGTATCGACACTTTGATTTTATGCCCTTGTGTTTGATCCTATTACAGTTTCAGTGTTTGTGTTTTACCTTGACGGAGACGGCAAACTTTTACTTTGTAATTAAATGTTTTTCCCCATTGAGACACCCCTCAGTTACAGACGTTCAGAGTTTAAGTTCCGCAGTAGGAGCCACCTAACAATCTAGTTGCTGAAGCATGTGTTGTTCACTCCACACGCCCACATTTCCTCAGCTGGGTTTTAAACCAGTGACCCAGGAGGTTACTGCTTCCCACCCACTTTTGAGTTCAGTCTACTGAAGCTATTCCAGTTGTACTTGTGGTGATAATTCATTCATTAGGTGACCTAAATGCCCCTTTTTATTTTTGCTTCTATCCATTTAAATATTTGAATGAAAGCCTGCACTAAATGTGTGTTGCAGACTTAAAATGGTTAACACAAAAATAACTTCCTGGCTTACTGAAATGCATTGACTGTTTTTGTGCTTGTAGGTCATTTGTCGCCGCACAGACACAGACAGAGGACGGGGAAGGAGGGACAAGTGCTTCACAGGTCCAAACGAGGATGGGTCTGGAATCAGTTCTTTGTCATTGAGGAATACACTGGACCTGACCCGGTTCTGGTGGGCAGGGTGAGTATAGTGTGAGTCACAGTATTCTCTTCTCGAGTCAGACTTACTGAATAACAGTGTAAAATATGGCTTGCTTTTTAATTAATCATAACATCACATTTCATAATCTAGGGTTTTTAAAGGAAGGACAAGTGTTTAATTCAATGTGAGCATTCTTCAGTTTAATTTGATTCCAGTGGTTTGAATCTGAAACTTATTAGTGTTCGTTTGTCTCACCCAGCACAGACTGGTCCGTCTGTCTCAGCCTTTTAGCTGCTTTAGTTTGTAGACTTGAAAAGTAGAAGCATCATGTCACATGTCAAGCAGAAAAACATCCAGTTTAATGTTAGACAGTTACCTGTTTAACTCTGTAACCACCCGTTTGTCAGTCCATCTTTTGAAGTTCCATATGAAACCTACATGTTGTCAGCACTAAACATGCCCTACCGCTGCATGTTATTGTGTCTGTTTTCTTTCTGGTTTGTCTCACCCTCTTCTTGTCTCCTCAGCTCCACTCAGATGTAGACTCAGGAGATGGCAACATCAAGTACATCTTGTCAGGCGAAGGCGCAGGTACCATCTTTGTTATTGATGACAAGACAGGAAACATCCATGCCACAAAAACCCTGGACCGCGAGGAGCAGGCCCAGTACACTTTAACAGCCCAGGCCGTGGCCAGAGACACTAACAAGCCTCTGGAGCCTCCATCACAGTTCATAGTGAAAGTTCAGGACATCAATGATAACCCTCCTGAGTTTCTACACGGGCCGTACTATGCCAGGGTGCCTGAGATGTCCAATGTTGGTGAGTAGTGAAGAAAGGGTAAAGCAAGAGGCTATGTTTGGTTGGGGTTGACAGCAGTGCAGACTAGGACATCATCTAGGACGGTGCACATTACCTAAACATGTTTACTTGCAGCGAGTTGTCCAGTATAAATGTATCTGGTTGAAATTTTAGTCCTTATTTCATATGAAATCCAAACTGATGATTCAGTATTACGAACAGACTAGAAAATTTCTCTTTAAAACTTTTTTAAATGATGCATTTTAGTTTGTCATTACTAAAGTTGACCCCTATCTTAAAGTGATGAGAAACATCACAGCAGATTTGTTTTCTTTCCACATATAATTTCACGACAGCGATTCAGAAGAGATCATCGAATCCAATCTTTTTGTACAGAAAGGCTCTCCATTGAACACTGGGTGACATTTTTTATTAATGAAGTCGCTGGTGGAGTTCATAGTCGGTGTTGTTTGTCTGCTAAACAGCCTTTTTCATACATTATTAATTGTAACTGAAATCTGAACACAGGGAGAGTGACAGAGAAATAGATACCAGACAGTGTCAACAGCTGAAATATCCAGCTTCTAAAACACATTTTCATTTTAATCTTCAACAGAGGACTCAACTTTAGTTGAAAGGCAGCTGTAATTTGACCAAACACGTCAATGTACCCTAATGGATATCAAAATTAGAAAATATCAAGAAGGCAGTCTCTTTTCCAGCATTGTTGGTAATTGATCCTCTACACTTAATGTAGCTGCCACACTGAAACCAGGATGAAATGATCCTTGATTACAGTTACATATCCAGCAGATTTCCTATGGTGGGCACATACTGTAGCTGAAACTGGAAACAGCAAATGTGGAACTGAAAGTAAGACTAAAGTAGCTGACTGAACAAGAATACTCTGGGGTTAGTAATACGATGCACCCACAGGGCCCAGCCAGTATCATCCAGTTGCAAAGACAGCACCAGACATTTTGGACCTGCAGTACAGGGCACCCTGTGCCACCCACAGGTGTTGAATATACAGTAAGAGGTCCAGATTGAAACTACATGTTCATTGCTTCACAAAAGGAAAGAAAAAGCTTTTCAGATTTGCACCACCTGCTGGTATCAAGGCAGCTGCAAATGTTTGTCATATACTAGGAAGCCTACAAAGCATAGACACATATCTCAAGCTCACTAAGCCACACACTCACGACAGACTTCAAAGATTGTCCTGCTGATTTGTGTGTGCAAAGAAAAAGCAGGTGTAAGAGAAAAAAAAGCCAAATTAGGGAAAAATACTGTTGGGTTTGTAGGTCCAACCTGCTGGTCAGAGAACAGTTTTTGTTTTATCTCATCTGAAAAAGAAAATTTTAGCAACTATGCAAAGTTAATAAAATGTATTTCACACCTGCAAATGAAATTTATTTGGCTCACTCACTCAGCTTAAAAATGTCAAGTTCAGCCATCAGACACTTGCTAAAAGTGAACTGCTGCTGTTGAATGAAAACACATTTTCAACACGTCCATTTTCTAGGGACTAAGATTAACGGTCTTGTCTTTGAGCTTGACAACTATACACTTTTCAGATTATCCAATGGCTTTTGAAAGGGTTTCATAAATGCAAGGTTTGTTGAATTCTGCCAGTGCATTGAAGAAATATGTTTTATTAAAACATTAAAAAAAAAAAATCACCAAAATAGGAGAGTGGATGTTTCCACCCGACACTGATGAAATGTAGAGAAATAACAGTGGAGACCAGCCCCAGAGGAGCAGTTCAGCTGTAGTGTCTGACAGAGAGGAGAATGTTTTTTATTCCCTTTTCCCATCCAGTCTGTGCAGGCAGGTGAACTGGCACACACTCTGTGACAAGCTTGTTTATCAAACCTTTCACTGAGGTAGAATCATCTCCTGACTTATCTGTCATGTCTGTCCTATAGGTACATCAGTGATGCAGGTGACAGCGACAGATGCTGATGACCCTACCTACGGCAACAGTGCCAGGCTGGTATACAGTATACTGCAAGGACAACCGTATTTCTCTGTGGAGCCTCAAACAGGTGAAAAGAGAACCCCGCCTTGAGTGTGCAACAATCTACACTGCAATCAGATACTGGCTTACTGATGCAGTGTCACACAAGACAAACAACATTAATTTATGCTACATCACTGGACAACATCCAACAAATAACAATAAAACATCACCTAAGGATAAGGTACCACTAAGCAGCCACACTTTGGTAAGAATATGCTCAGGAAGCCTGATAGCTATGGGCCTTCACAATAAGTTGTGCAAAATGCATATGTGAGTTTTAGTTTGAAGGAGTCACTGCAAAATCTTGGCATGATTGTGTATCCCAGCACTACTGTATAAACCACAAGCCTGGCACGAGGCACCTTGTGGAAACTGCTTGTCACTAAGACCAAAATGAAAATCAGTTTGTTTCTGCAATATTTTACCCTGTAGCACTCGTAATGTAAAAAGCTAAGAACTCACAGCTGCAGGGGCTGTGTGACAGCACATCCTTCCCACTGAAACTGCTGAGGAGAAGAAGACATCGTTGTAAAAATAGGTCCCCAGAGGACATTCAGTCTAGTCGCTGCAGAGGCTTAATATTTGGGTTTGGCATTAAAAGAAGAAATGGGATGTATGGAGAGAGTTTAGGGCAGACATGGAGCTATGTTGGATCAGAGGGAGTGAAGAAGAAGAAAGAGAGAAAGGTTAGGGTGGAGGAGGAGAGAGAAATTAGTTTGGAGAGAGTGAGTTCATGGAAAGAGAGTGGTTAGGCCACAGAGAGGGAGAGAGATTTGGGCAGAGTAAATCTGGCTAATCAAACCAGTGTTGGGTATTTCACTGGCTCAAATCCAGAGCTCACATTTCTAATTGGTTTGGAGATTATCAGCTTTTCATGCTGTCACACACACACGGTTGGTATAATATGACAGCAGACAGCCTGAGCTTCCCAACACAGCATCCAGACGTGGAGAAAGGAAGAGAGAGTTGGACAGATTGCATTCACTGAGGCCTGAAATGGACAAAAATAAGACTTTATGTTAATGATAAGTGATCGTCCATCCATCCATTTTCCTCCGCTTATCCGGGACCGGATCTAAGCAAAGATGCCCAGACTTCCCTGTCTCCAGACACTTCCTCCAGCTCCTCCGGGGGAATGCCAAGGCATTCCCGGGCCAGCCAAGAGACATAGTTCCTCCAGCGTGC